CGCTGGGGTTGCCGACGGGTCGACACGACACGAACCTACCGTGGTTCTTGTCGCCCCCCCCCCCTAGAAGAAGGAACAGCTACATAAGCATTACCCTTCCCAGGTCCACGCGAACGTCATGGAACGGCGCCGGAGCCCCCATCACTGGCGGGCGAAGCGTAGGGGGCGGCGCTGGAGACGCCGCCATGGGGTCTGGAGCAGATCCAAGAATTTCGTGCGGACCTCCCAAAAGTTTACCCATCGGTCGGAAGAAGTAGGTAGAAACCTGAAGTGGGAAGGCGTTGGAAGTAGATTGGGTTTCCGCCCGCCCCCTGAAGAGGAGGGAAGAGGGGAAGCCACTCGATCACTGAAGTAGGAAGGCGCTCAAAGTAGCATTGGAATCTGAGAATTCAAAAATACCGATGTATACTCAACGACCGATGGGTATGTTGATGCAAATTGTCAGGGCCCCTTGAACAAGACACTGATAAACCAGGGCACTGGCGCGCCCGAGATATAACGAAATGCCGTGGGTCGAAACATTCTCCATGGGACGCTCTCTCCGGGTGGACTCTTTTCGAAGTCCTGCTCAGCAACGTCATGGTTTGGGAAATTGTTTTTTCGATGTTTCCTGTAGCAGTAGTTTTAGGTCGGGCATGTCCTCCTACAGGCGGATGTTGGACGATAATCAAAAGATAGTTTTAGAATTACTCTAATAGTCAAACCTAATTTAAAAATCGTCCCCAGACTATTATGTTGACTATGTTTGAATATTCCTTCTGTAGAGGGACATGCCCGACTTAACCTCAAAGCCGACATTGATAAACCAGGACACTAGCGCGCCCGAAATAAACAACAGAATGCCGTGGGCCGAGGCATTCTCCATTGGCCGTTCTCTCTCTGGGTGGACTCTTCGAAGTCCTGCTCAGCAACGTCCTGGTCTAGGAAACCGCCGATCCGATGCTTCCTGCAGCGGTCGTTGCCCGGAGAGGGGGAGGAGAGGGGAGCGGGCCCCAGGGAGCGAACGCTCGAGCGGGCTGGGGCACGTCGGGGCGAGCGTCGTCGCCGCCGTCGTCGTCGTCGTCGTCGTCGTCGTCGTCGTCAACGTGGTCGTCGTCGTCGTCGTCGTCGTCGTCGTCGTCGTCGTCGTCGTCGTCGTCGTCGTCGTCGTCGTCGTCGTCGTCGTCGTCAACGTGGTCTGCGCGCGAGCAGCAGCACGTGGGAGGGCCCCGCCCCACGCCCCCTGCGCACAAGCGTTGACGCTGCCCGGAGGAGAGGGCTGGCCAGGGAAACGACCGATACGCGCCAAAGGGAAAAAATCGGCGGCGAGCCCGGGGGGGAAATGAGGAGGAGAGGCCTTCTCAGAGGGCTCGCAAGTCTCCCGGCCTTCTGACAGGCTCCTAAGCCTTCCCCGGAGACACGGAAAACTTCTCAGAAGGCGCCAGGGCATCTGAGAAGCCCCGCCGCAATTGAGAAGGCCTTCTCCTTCTCACGTCCGCCCATCGCTCGCCGCCGAAAAAAAAGCAATCTCTAGTTATCCCTGATCTCTTCGTCGACTCTCTCCCCCCCCAACCGCCTCTGGAGCCCCCCCATGCAGAAGCTGGTGTCGCGGCCGAGCGTCGCGGCTCCCAGGCGAGGGCGCGCGCAACGCAGCGGAGGACGGCGAGCGGGAACGCAAAAGCTCTGTGGTGGCCAGCTCCTGGTGACGCTGGACACGGGGGAGGCCAGAAGTCTGGCGCAAATCCGTAAAATCTGCACGGACCGTCGAAAGATGATGATTATGCCGTTACTTCTTCGACCCGTGCGAATCCATCGCCCCCGATGCCGCCAACCGCGTAGTGCGGGTGTTTCGGCAGGGGCGCGAGAGACTGACCAGCGCTCCGCAGTGGGAAGCAAAAGAACTGACGCAGCCGAATCGGCATGGCATTCATGGCCACACCCGTGCGCACGAGCAAGAGACTCTGATTCGGGCGCTCGCGATGCGCGATGCCACCATCCAGAAAAACTTCCACGGCAGCCGGGGACGCCATGAGGGGGGGCCCAACGTCACGTTGGCAACCCGAGCCACACCCTGCTCCGCCGCGCGCGGGCCGGGCGGCCCAAAACTGTAGCCGCGTGGGCCCCCAACTTGGCGAGCTGCAGGTCAGTGCGCTTGGCCTGGACAGCCTGGTCGACACTGCGCCCCGCTCGCCTGCAGTAGCGGGACCGCGCCGCGGCCGCCGAGGGCGTGGACCTTCGTGTCACCTCCGCTGGCGAAGAAAACAAGGCCCACGGTCGACCCTGTGGCATCCAACCATCCACAGGCCATCATGGCAGCGACACGGTCTCGTTCAACGCATCTGTCAAGGCTGCGCCTGGCCCTTCCGCGCTTGCGCGCGGCCCGTCTGGTGCCGAGCTTGCGTCGGTGGCAGCCCCCGGCAAAGCACCGAGGAAACGCTGCGAGGAAAACAGAGTCCCGATGAGTCGTGGACGCAGCCACTGAGTAAACAGGAGACCGTTTTTTGTATGTTTCGGCGACAGCCCAGGTCATCTGGTGGACGGGGCAGTTGGGGGAGGTGACGGTTGATAACCTAACCTTTTCGCTCTGGGCAGCCCTGTGCCCGCGCGCACCAATGCTGCGCACCCCCTTCGGACCTGCGCGACCGACAAGGTCGAGGTATCCAGGAGGCGGGGGCCGGCGGGCCCGATCACCTCGGCGATCGCGGAGCCCAAGAAAACGGTCTCCAGAGGGAGCGGCCAAGTATATACATACAGGTTCACTTCTGCAGCAATGAATTATGCCAAGGTCCTGCATGGGCCCGACAGTGCGCAGATTCAGAGTGTCCAGTGTGAAACTCGACGGCGGTGCCCTGCGCCGGGTCCTGTCTGAAAATATGGGCTTGCCCTAGCAACGGCGTTTGGGTGCTCAGCCCTTCGAAAAGACGGTGGACGGTCCAGATGTTGAGGAAGATACACTCACACATTATGCCGTTACGTGCTTCATGATGAAACTTGTTGGGCCGCCACCAGCTGTCTAAAATGCGTGTAATTCCGATCGTGGGCTGAGCACCAAAGCCGAGACAGACTGCGTGACCCAACCTGACTGCTGGCCTTGCGGTACCCCCTGCGCCGCCACGAAAAAATACATCCTGGATCCTGAGTTTTCTCCATCGTTGGTAGAGATTTCGCTCCGTGGATATTATCTCAAGGCCCTGGTCTTTGCTGACTCCTCATCCTCCACCTCCTCCCTCTTATCCTCATCCTGGCAGAGTTTCCGTTCACTCGGACGACTCTGAAAAATTACTCGACGCGGAGATTCCTATGTGTATCTCATTTCCTGGCGCGCCTCGCTGAAAATGGTTGTCTGTGAGTATGCGGGTGTGCATCTGTGTTGGCGGCCCCCCTGAGGGGTGTTGAAACCATCGCCTCGCTCGGGACATCCTCACAATCTGCTGGAGGAATAAAGAGCAGAGGGAAGAGAAGGATGAGGGGGACGAGAGAAGTGAGGGGAGAGTAAGAAGGAGAACGAGGAGGATGAGGGGAAGGAGGATGAGCAGAGGGGGATGAGGAGGAGAAGAGGACGAGGAAGTGGGGGAGGAGTGGGAGGAAGAGGGGGGAGAAAGAGGAGGAGGAGGAGAACCCCCTCCTCCTTCTCCTCTTCCTCCTCCTCCTCCTCCTCCTCATCATCATCATCATCATCATCATCATCATCATCATCATCATCATCATCATCATCATACTCATCCTCCTCCTCCCAGCGCCTCGCTTGGGACATCTTCACGATCTGCTCTGGCCCCCGCACGACAACCTGGCCCCCACACAGAAAGCAAGGCAGTCTGGACCACCAGACAGGCAAACCACCTGAGACATCCCCACAGTCTAAGCGCAAACGGGCCGAGTGTCATAACCCCTGGCCCCCTCTTGGGGTGTTGAAAACAGCGCATCGCACGACACATCTTCTCCATCTGCCCTGAAAGCAGAGCCGTCCGAGCAACCAAACAAGCAGACTGCTCGAGACATCCCACAATCTAGCCACGACCAGTCCCGTGTGATGCCCCCTGGCGGGCCCTCCTCAGGGTGCTGCAGCACCAGCACCTCGCTCGAGACATCATCGCAGTCTGCCCCGAGAGCAGAGACGCCCATGCAGCAAAACCGTCTCCTCCTCCTCATCCTCCTCATCCTCGTCCTCCTCCTCCTCCTCCTCCTCCTCCTCCTCCTCCTCCTCCTCCTCCTCCTCCTCCTCCTCCTCGAGTCATCCCCACAGTCTGGCCGCGAACGGTCCCACGCAACAGCCCATATTGGGGTGCTGAAACCAGCGCTTCGCTCGGGACATACTCGCGATCTGCTCTGAAAGCGGCGAAGGCCGGGCAACCAAACAGACAAACTGCCTGAGACATACCCACATTATGTGAGCGAATCTGAGTGTGAGTGAGTCTGAGTGCGAGTGAGTCTGAGTTCGAGTGAGCCTAGGTATGAGTGAGTCTGAGCGTGAGTGAGTGCGAGTGTGAGAAAGTCTGAGTATGAGTGAGTCTGAGTCTGAGTGAATCTGAGAGTGAGTGATTATCCCTATGAGTGAGTCTGCTGAGTGTGAGTGAGCGTGAATGCTGAGCCTGAGGGAGGAAGATAAATGAGAAGGATGAGAAGGAAAAGGAAAGAGGAGGATTGGAGACGGAGGCGTCAGAGCAATAACAAGAACCTCATCTCAGCATATAGGGAAAACAATGGCATTTCGGACGAATCCCCGTGAACACTCGAACCTAGCAATTAGCTCGCCATCGAAATCCGATACTCTTCAAAGAGGGTTGACAGCTGCCCCTATCTTGCCAGGATCTCGGCCTCAAATTTGTGCGGAATCATGCCTGGTACCCAGAGCTCGATCTCTGACGGGCGCCACTGGCTCCAACTCGGTTCTCTGGTGAGTCGCTCCAGTGTCAAAGCCGCTCAGTTCCAAAGCGCGTCCAACATCAAAAGGGGATTGGCTCTCGTGACGCCGCCGGGTGCCCGCAAGGCTCGTGGCAGGAGCTTGGCTGATCCAGAACCCCATGAAGAAAGGCGCACCCGATCGGGAATCCCTTCCGGGTGGTGCCTCAGCTGCCCTGTCCCTCGGCAAGGGCCCAGGGGGTCATGATCGTGGTCCCAGGTTACTCGCTCGCTTAGGCGAGTGCCCCATGCGGGCGCTGCCTGCTTCGAGCGTCGGATGCAACCCGACAGTGTGCAGGGACATTATGTGGCGCCGAAGGCAGCCGAGCATCGGCACATGCTGCCGGCGCGGCGGGCTCCGGACAAGCGCCTGGCAAGAGATGAAACAGGCGGCGCGCCGCTCTTGACAGAAAGGCCTCGTGTGACAAAGACGTCCCTCCCACCCTCCCCATGAGACATCCTGACTTTTCAGAACGGCGTCCCTGGAAGTCCCGACCTTTTCCCAGGGACCGGCTTTTCATCCTGAATCGTTCTCTGACGGCCCCGGGGCCCGGCGAAGGCCTCCAGAGGCCAAAAACGGTGACAAAAAAACGTCCTGAATCTTTTTACGACGCGATCATGTCCGGGCTTAGCTGCCCCGATACGCGACATGCAACATGTAGCATATTGGTACGGAACTCGACACATAGACTGGAAACGTAGGCCTGACGAGATACGCTCGCCAAAACGTGGGCCAATACGTTGAGCCAACACGCAACGTATTGACACGGACGTTTTGAGCACGGTACGCGCTGCGTTTCAGAACGAGCGTATCGAGGCAGCTAAGTCGTCTGGGTCCCTCCATCCCTCCCTCTCCAGACCTCCGACGACGCGATGTTCTCACAGCGTGGACCCCCAGGGGTCTAGGGCCTTCCCCATCGACCAAGTGTGCTCGTCCTGGGCCGCTGGCAGTTCTCTGACGGACCAGGAGCCCGTCAAATAGCGCAGTCCACAGAATCCGAAAATACGCGAAGCGAGGAAGTCTGGGCCCTCCTCCTCCCGCTCCTCCTCCTGCTCCTGCGCCTCCTCCTCCTCCTTATCCTCCTCCTCCTCATCCTCCTCCTCCCAAGATCAGTCAGCATAGACTCGGGTAATCGAATCGAATCGGAATGCCCGTCAGCTCGGGCCACGTCGGCAAGGAGTCGGAGTCGAATCGAATCGGGCGCGCAAGGGTACACACCAGCACCATGCGAGTATCGGGCCGCATCGCTCCGCTGATAATATCAGAGTCGAATCGGATCGACCCAGCCAGAAGCGAGTTCGAATCGAATCGACTGAAACGGTCCCTGTCGTTCCCCTACTCTCCCTTGGAGGCGGCCAAAGGGTCTGAGCCAGCTGGGACCCCAGAAATACTCGCCAGGTTTGGGCCGTATGGGGTCTGAGGGGCTGGGCCATCTCAGACCCCCATACGGCTCCAACCTTTCCTCCCCCCGTCCTCCTCCCCCACCCCTCCGCCCTCTCCTCGCTGAGAGCACCCAGCACGCCAGACAGAACCACTGGCGGGCACCACCTCAGCCAGGCAGCCGCCCTCGCACTGCCGCCGCAGAAGTGGCGGCAGGAGGAGGAGGAGGAGGAGGCAGAGGAGACGGAGGAGGAGGAGGAAGAGCGGGAGGAGGAAGGGGAGGAAGGGGAGAAGGACGTGGTTGTCCTCCTCCTCCTCGTCCCCGTCTTCTTCGTCCTCTTCTCCTCTTCATCCCCCTCTTCACATCCTGCTCCCCCTGATCCTCCTCTTGTTCCTCCTTGTCCTCCTCCTCCTCCTCCTCCTCCTCCTCCACCTCCTCCTTTTCCTCATCCTCCTCCTGCTCCTCCTCCTCCTTCTCCTCCTCCTGCTCCTCCTCCTCATCCTCCTCATTCTCCTCCTCCTTCTCCATTCCTTTTCCTCATGAACAACTTCTCCCTGTCGCACCCCGAGGCAAGTGTTTAGGGCGGGCCGGGCGTTTCGCCTGAGACTCCCTCACCATTCATGACCCTGAAGCATTAAAGTTGTCAACGGCTTCACAGATGGAGGGCGGGTCGTTTTCAAAATGTGGTTCTCGCCTTAGCGCCGCGCACATTCGTTCTAAGTTGCAAGAGCTTCACGGCTTGAGGGCGGGTCGTTTCCAAAATATGGCTCTCGCCCCAGCGCTACGTAAATTCGTGTTGTAAATGCAAGAGCTTCACCGATTGAGGGCGGTTCTGATCCAAAATGTAGCTCTCGCCTTAGCGCCGTGCACATTCCTTATTATGTTCAAGCCTTTCATGGATTCCCATGATCAGCGTACCAAGAAGTGTGTTTTGGAACGACTCCGGATTATGAGGGCGCAACTGGTACGCTGATTCGCGGTGTTGAAGTCCCGAGAATGGCTTTCTGGAACGATTCAGAGTCGTCATGTCGCAACAGTCAAGTTGAAATCCCGAGACATTGTTTCGGCATGTTTCAAAGTCTTCAAGCAGTTGTCTTCCAACGAGGCAGTTCCCCCAGTAGAAATGAACCCTTGTAGGGGCCTATGAAGAGGGAGCTTGGAGGGAGGGTTAATTCCAACATCGTTGATGCCTCTTGGATTTACACTGGTCTTCCCCTCCTCCTCCCTCCTCCTCCTCCTCCTCCTCCTCCTCCTCCTCCTCCTCCTCCTCCTCCTCCTCATCCTCATCCTCATCATCATCATCATCATCCTCACTCCTCCTGACTCCCCTCCTCACTCCTCTCTTCCCCCTCATCCTCCTCTTCCCTCTACTCCTTACTCTTCAAGCAAAGTGTGAGGATGTCCCAAGCGAGTCGGAGGTTTCAACACCCCAAGGCTGAAAATGTGCATGTATGTGTGAATGGTGTGTATGTGTGGATGTGTGTGGGTGCGTGAATGTGTGGGGGTGTGCGTGTCCGAGCCCGGCAGGAAAAAACGTTCGCCCTGAGGATGTGGACTGGTAGGTGTGAGTGGATGAGTAGGTGTGGGTTGGTTGGCAAGTTTGGTTATCAGGCCGGCTACGCAGGTGAAGGTAGGTATGTAGGTGCAGACTGAGGCGCAGGTGCCGACGTATCTCTTGAGCCCCTGCAAGAGTAAGTAGGTAGATGTTGATGCATTGCGATTAGGCACCCCTGGAAACCGCATCCAATGTGTGAGCTATGCAGCTGTTTGCGCTGTCTCCCAAGCTTGAAGTGCACAGTGCAAAGTTGCACGGCCGAAGCTGAAAGCCTGCATCAATTTGCGCGTCATGTTCCCGCTTCAGGCCTCAAAGCTAGGGATCGATGGGCGGAACGGGCGCGAAAGCTGTACGTACTTTTTCGCGCATATAGAGAGCGACTACGACCAGGACGAGAAGGATCAGCAGGAGCAGGTGAAGCAGGAGGAGCAGGAGGACGAGGTGCAACAGTAGGACGGAAAGGAGATGAAGGATGAGGGGCAGGAAGAGAAACACACGCAGCCTGAAGGCCAGACAGCGGCAATCACGCGGTCCCAAGAAAAAGCCTGGCCAAGAAACACAAACGGAACGATGACAAGCTCGCCGGGCGTCACTGCCCCGCGGCATGGCAGGCGCCTGCCGCATCGCTCACATGACCAACGGTTTCCCTGGGTTCCCTCCTAAGCCCTTTCCTAAACGAACGAGTGTCCGCATACACACATACATACATGCATTTTCGCAAGTCCGCTCGGATTCCTTGCATCGGCGCTGGACCCCCCCTCCCTGGCACGCGGAGCGCACAAGAGGCGGCGCCGCGGGCGCCGCGGGGGAGGGGGCCGCGCAGATCTAAGAAAATCCACGGACCTCCGAAAGGTATGTCTATGCCGTTCTTTGTTATTTCGGCGTCCGTCGATAATCCACGTGTATCAGTATCAGTGCCAACGTGTGCTTGTCCACCGAAGCCCTCCAATGCGACGCAAAGGGGCGAGTTAATGAGAGCCAGCACGGGCTGCGTGCTATCGACGGAGCTGAAGGTGATAAATGCATACGGAGCGAACATTGGAAGCGGCCAGGGGGTCTGAGCTGGATGGGCGCCGAGATAATCTGTCAAGAGAGGGGAATGAAGTCAAATTCGCTCAAAAACGGTCCCAGTACCCCACTTGGGGTCCACCTGGTGCAGGCTTTCACCCCAGATCGATTGTTGACGGCCCTGGCGCCAAAAAACGGCCCCGACCGAAAAATAGCAATAATCACCAAAACCAACGAAACACCCTTCTCTCGCCATATACATATATATATATATATAACATATAGATGCATACATACATACATACATACATACATACATACATACATGCATGCATGCATGCATACATACATACATACATGCAGGCATGCATGCATCCACACATACAAATTACACACATACATACATACATACACACACACATACATACATACATACATACATACATACATACATACATACATACATACATACATACATACATACATACATATACATAAATACATACATACATACATACATACATACATACTTCATACTTACATACATACATATACATATACATACATACATACGGGTTCGGGGGCGAATCGCCCCCCTTGCGAAAATCATCAAATCATCCTTGCGTGGTTGTGTGTTGTTTTCCTTTGTTCCTTTACCCCCTTTTCCTTCTCCCGTTTTTTTCATGCTCTTCATTTTTGAACGTTCGCGAACCTCGCTGTGCGAATCTTTCTGGGTGGCCGCGTGGTGAGGAACTCGGTTCTGCGAACCTCGCTGACTCGGGTACGTGACCACGCAGGGCTGGGACATCCGCCCCTCCCTTGCTGCTGGCGGCACCTGGGGGGGGGGGGAAGAGGGGGAAAAAAAATGCCGCCCCCCCCCCCCGCTAGGCGCCAGCAGCAAAGGATTGCAATCGCAGCGCATTGTAATCGCATTAAAATTCGTTGCAACCGCATTGCAGCAGCAATGCTATAGTACTGACTGCTGCAGTAGTAGTACTGCAGTAGTGTAGTATACGTTGTGCTCTACTACTGCAGCAGCATTCTAGAAACGCTGTAGTAGTACTGCATTAATGGTGTGGCAGCACTGTGTTAGTCCTGTAGCTGTAGTAGAAGTAGTAGTAGAAGTAGTAGTAGCAATAGTAGTAGTAGTCGTCGTCGCAGTAGTAGTAACAGCACAACTCCGGCCTTGCAGTAGGGGTCATACGTGGGCGTTTGCTCTAGCAGTCGCACTGTAGTAATGTAGTAGACATAGTCCACGACTGTAGTACTCGAGCAGAGTAGTAGCACCCTCGAACTATAGCGCTATAGTGGTAGTCTGCAAGAAGAGTGCTGCAGTATTGAGGGGCTGTGCCGTACTACTGCAGTAGTGGTACTGTAGAAGCAGCACTCTACTAGATTATCCGTACGAGCAGTATTGCCTGCAGTGATTACACTACTCTAATAGCACCACTCAAAGGCCGTAGTCTATCAGCACTGTTGTATACTCTAGTACTGTAGTTATGTAGCGGTGGCATTGAAATATTCTTAGTACAGTACTCTAGCAGTAGTACTGCCGTAGTGGTACTCTAGTACTGAACCAGTGGTACTCTGATACCGTGCTCAGCCAGTAGCATTACTGCATTAACGCAGTGGCAGCACTGTAATAGCTCTGTAGTTGTATTCAGGTATCGCAGTAATGATCACACTCTAGTACTTGTTTTAGTAGTCGCACTGTAGTATTGTCGTAGAAGTAGTCCCCTACTGCAGTCCCCTCGAACTGTAGGGCTTCAGTGGTACTGATGTAGGGAGCGTGCCGTACTACTGTGGAGCCGTGCTGTACCACTGTAATGCTGGCATTGTGGATACCGTGCTCTAGTAGTGCCTTCGTAGAGCAGCATTCTACTACTCCCTGCAGTTGGTGTGCTGCAGTACTGTCGTAGGAATATTCGAATGCCGTAGTAGATCAGCACTGTTGCAGTAGTTTAATACTGTAGTGCTGTAGTGGTGACACCGAACTAGTCCTAGCACAATACTTTCGCAGCAGTACTGCAGCAGTGGTACTCTAGTGCTGGACAAGTGGTACTCAGACACCGTACTAAGCCAGTAGTAGAGTTGCACTAGCGAAGTGACAGCGCTGCAATAGCCCGGTAGCTGTAATGGTAGTACTCAGGTATCGCAGTAAAGATCATATTCTAGTGGTTGCTTTAGTACTCGCATTGCTGCAGTGCCATAGTAATTCACTGGAATAATACTCCTGTACAGTACTAGTACCCTTTTTCAACTGTGATGCTTTAGCGGTGGTGTTGTAGAAAGAGCGTTGTACTTGGAGCCGTGCTGTACTATTGCAATAGTGGCGCTGTAGAAACAACGCTCTTGTACAGCATTCGTAAAAGCACTATTCTACGACTGCTTGCAGCGCGTGTGCTACAATACTATGATAGGAATACTCGAGCACTGCCGTAGTGCTCCAATACTGTCGTGGTGTTCTGGCATTGCAATAGTATCGCAGCACTGTTGTAGTGCTCTAGTCCTGGAATGTTGTAGTGGTGGTATTACACATAACGTAGTACAGTACTCTAGCACAAGTACTGCACTCGTGGCACTCTAGTAGTGTATAGCAGTCGACTACTGGCAGTAGTAATAGTGGAACTCTACCATTGGAGTATTCCGTGGATTTTTGCAGTCGTAGACGTGCTCTGGCACAGTAGTAGCGGTAACGCAGTAGTGGCGGCTGTACAAGTGATACTATGCTGTACTGCAGCAGCACTCTAGTACGGTCGCACTGTAGTAGTACTAGTAGCCGTAGTAGCCGTAGTAGCCGTAGCAGACGTAGTAGTAGCAGCAGCAGCAACAGCAGCAGTAGTAGTAGTAGTAGTAGTAGTAATGATAGTAGTAGTAGTAGTAGTAGTAGTCGTAGTCGTACTCGTAGTAGTAGTAGTAGTAGTAGTAGTAGTAGTAGTAGTAACAGTAGTAGTAATATTACTGGTAGTAGTAGTCGTACTCGTAATAGTAGCAGTAATAGGAGGAGGAGTAGTAGTAGGAGTAGGAGTAGTAGTAAGAGTAGTAGTAGTAGTAGTAGTAGGAGTAGGAGTAGTAGTAGTAGTAGCAGTAGTAGTAGTGGTAGTGGTGGTGGTAGTAACAGTAGTTGTAGTAGTAGTAGTAGCAGCAGTAGTAGTAGTAGTAATAGTAGTAGTAGTAGTAGCCGTCGTAGTAGTAGTAGTAAGAGTAGTAGTCGTATTACTGGTAGTAGTAGTAGTAGTAGTAGTAGTAGAAGTAGTAGTAGCAGTAGTAGGAGGAGGAGGAGGAGGAGTAGGAGTAGTAGTAGTAGTAGTAGGAGTAGTAGTAGTAGGAGTAGTAGTAGTAGTAGCAGTAGTAGTAGTAGTGGTGGTGGTGGTGGTGATAGTAATAGTAGTTGTAGTAGTAGTAGTAGTAGTAGTAGTAGTAGTAGTAGTAGTAGTAGTAGTAGTAGTAGTAGTAGTAGTAGTAGTAGTAGCTTTTCTACCGGACGAACCACCAACACGATGCCTCCACTTGCCAGCACTGCACACCACTGCAGCCACACTGCGCCGCAGCGTGAGACGAAGGAGCGGATGGAGAGCGTCGGAATTGCTCGACACCGCGCGCTGCTCCGAGAAGCAGACTCCAACTGCAAGCCACGGCGCCAGGCGAGGCGGGGGGAGGAGGTGCGCGTTCGGGCCACGTGCGCGACCCCACTCAGCGCAGCCAGTCAAACAGCGCAATGCAGAAATAAGGGGAGCACGAGGAGACAGAGAGAGAGAGAGAGAAAGAGGACGAGAGAAGAAAACATGGGAGGGAAGACAAACAAACAGTGGTGTGACGGGTAATCATAGAAGGCGACTCCAACCAGCGGGCGCTGAAAGCTCGCTGAGTAACAGGAGCCCGCGCAGCGGGAGTGCCCGTCGCAAGCAAGCGTACAACTACAAATGCACAGAACAAAGCCAAAGGAAGGCCAGAGGAAGGGAGAGGGGAGCAGAAGGAAGGTGAAGCAGCGACGCATCGCGCATCACCGAGGGAAACTCCAGACTGCCGCCAGCGGCCGACCTCAGAAGGCGAGGCCGATGGACGCGAACAAGATGTCCCAGTGAATGGCCCTACCACCACCCCATCATGCGCACCCCATCCACTCAACGACCATCGTACTGCTCGCCGACGTGTTGTGCATGATGGTGCTGTTGGCACCCGTCGTGCTCGTCCCACTCGTGGTGCTGCTTTCGGTCGTACTGCTCGCCGACGTGCTGGGCGTAGTGGTGCTGCTGGTCTTGGTCGTGCTTGTCACACTCGTAGGGCTGCTCTCGGTCGTACTGCTCGCCGACGTGCTGGGCGTAGTGGTGCTGCTCGTACTCGTCGTGCTCGTCACACTCGTGGTGCTGCTTTCGGTTGTACTGCTCGCCGACGTGTCGGGCGTAGTGGTGTTGCTGGTGCTGGTCGTGCTCGTCCCACTCGTGGTGCTGCTTTCGGTCGAGCTGCTCACCGACGTGCTGGGTGTAGTGGTGCTGCTGGTCTCGGTCGCGAACATCAAGCTCGTGGTGCTGCTCTCGGTAGTACCGCTCGCCGACGTGCTGGGCGTAGTGGTGCTGCTGGAAGAGTTCTCGCTCGTCACACTCGTGGTGCTGCTTTCGGTCGTACTGCTAGC